CAAAGGTAATTTATTAAAACAAGTAGAAAGGGTTAAATGTTAATTTAAAAGGCTTGTCAAAATCTGAGTTATCTTAATAGAAAGCTGTTCAGTACAAAATACCAGACAGATATTATCACAGAAATCTTTTTATGAAGGTGCCAAAAAAAAAAAGTGAAATTTCCAACAGTCAACAGCAAAAAGTATACATAGCATTGGAAATTTAATGTGCTAGACATAAAGTTTTTTGTTTCACCACTGATATTATAAATAGAATTGTAATTTAAATTTCATTTTCCAATTTTTTTCTGCCATGTATAAAATACAGTTGATTTTGTATATTGACCCTATGTCTTGCTACCTTGGAAATTTACTTATTACTTCTAATTATTGCTTTGTCAGTTTTTTGGTACTTTCTATGTAAACAAACATATCATCTGAAAATAGAGATAGTTATACTTGTTTCTTTTCAAACTTCATGATTTCTTTTTCTTGATATATTGAAGTAGGTAGGGACTCCAGTCAAATGTAGAATAAACATGGTGAGAGTGAAATCCTTGCATGGTCTCTGATTTTAGGGAAAAAAATAGTCTTTCATAATTAATTGTAAAGTTAATTATAAGCTCCTCATATAAGACATTTCTCAGGTGTGTAAGTTTTCTTCTATTCAAAGCTTTTCAGAGATTTTAAAATCATAAGTAGATGTTGAATTATTAAAGATTTTTTTGGCCTTTGTTGGGACAGTTATATTTCTGTTAATGTGATTCTGTTTCTCTACATTTGATTTTTCAAATGATAAAGTAACCATGCATTCTAGACTAAGCCACAATGATTGTGATATATTATCTATGCTATACATTACTAGAGTTTATTTGTTAAGGTTTTTTATATCTATATTTTAAGGGCTATTGGTCTGTTTTTTTCTCATTATAGTTTTATCAGGTTATTAGATATATAGGTGAATTGGAAAAATTCTCTATTTCTCTATTTTCTGAAAGACATGATGTGAGATTACTTTTATTTCTTCTTTTAAATGCCTGATGAAATTCACCAGTGAGGTCATCTGGGACTGTAGTTTTAACTAAGGAAGGATTTTAAATTATAAATTTATTTGTTTATTAGATGTAGATTCTTCAGAGTACCTATTTCTTCTTATATCAGTTTTGGTAAGTTACAGTTTTCAAGTAATTGTCCATTTCATCTAAGCTTTTTATTTATTGTCATAAATTGTTTAAGATATTGCCTGATTATACTTTTTAAGTATGTAGTATAAGTAAGGATAACTTTTTTAATTTCTAATATTGGTTATTTGTGTTCTTATTTTCTTAATCAGTCTAGCTATGGACTTGTCAGTTTTCTTGATCTTTTCCAAAAAAATCAACCTTGTTGGGTTTGTTCATTTTCTCAATTATTTGTTTTCTATTTTATTGCTTTCTACTCTTATCTCTATTGTTTTTATCCTTTTATTTATTTTGTTCATTGTTCTTCTTCCTCTAGCTTTTAAGGTGGAAACTTAGATAATTGATTTTGGACCTGTCTTTTTTTTTTTTTTTCCAAAATAAATAGCTAAAGCCTTAAGCTTTCCTTTAAATATTGTTTTAGTTGCAATCCTTAAATTTTTAATATTCTAATATTTTTATTATAATTCAGTTAAAATATTTTTTAGTTTCCCTGGTAGTTTCTTCTTTAACATGTGGTTAATGAAAAATGGATTGTTTAATTTCCAAGTATTTGGAGACTTCTAGATACCTTATGTATGGAAAGACCCAGAGGTTACCTCCATTATCTGTGTGCCTGGTATTCACAACCTGTAAAATCCTCTCCCCTTAACTGGGAGTTGGATCTGTGACTTACTTCTAACCAATAAGGTATGGCAAAGATGAGGATACCAAATCTGTTGAGACAGCAGCCCTAGTCCACTCCTGGATTGCAGCCTGAATCCGTGGAAACCCTTGATCCATGGAAATTATGAGATAATAAATGTGTGTTGCTTTAAAGTTGCTACACCTGTCACAATTTGATAAGCAACAATAGAAAATTGATACTTATTGTTCTTGATTTTAAACTTAATTTCACTGTTATCAGAGCACATACTCTATGTGTTTTGCTTTTTTAAATTTATTGCTCCTTGTTTTCTGAGGGTATAGTCAGCACTAGTACCATGTGCACTTAACAAGACTGTATACTTTAAAGATTCTGGGGTATATTTTTATAATATTAAATAATAACCTTATAAATATCAAATAGTTCAAGGGGGTTGATAGTGTTCAGATATTCTAAGTCTTCATTAGGCATATGTGTATTTTTATTGTGTTTTTCTGAAACATTGACACATTTATCATTATTTAAAAATTTTTAAATTTCTAATAGTCTTTGTCTTGAAGTCTACTTTATCTGATACCAGTGTAGCCACCCCAGATTTCTAATGCTTACTGTTTTCATTTTCCATCCACTTATTTTTAATCTACTGTGCCTTTATTTTTAAGGTGAATCTCTTTAGGCAGCATGTTGTAATTTGGTCTGTTTTTATTTTGTTCTAAATCCATTTTGACTATCTCTGCATTTTAAGCTAAAAAAGACATATATGATGAGTTTATATGCCAATTCAGTTCTTTTTCTCTAAGGAAATTGTGGTCATCCTTAAAATTTCTGGCTTTGCTAAGTGTGTCCAAAAGGTATTTTCACATATGTGTTTTAGTTTTCCCTTCCCCATCCCGTCGTCATTTGTACTGACCTTTATTCAAAGTTTGAAGTATACTAAATCGTTGACAACAGATATCTAGGAAAGTCTCTGCTTCCATCTTATATTTATGCAAAATTCTGGGTGTGGTTATGAGATGGTGTAAATCCCTGTCTTTCTGACCTGACTACTTGCCCTCTGGGTTTGCCCTATAGGATCATTGTTCTCTGTGCTCTGTGGATGTGTGTGGTATTTTAAAGAAGATAGGTCATTTACTACTTGAATGCTGATCTGTAAAGCAGAGACCTTATTACATAACTACATGGCTGCCATAATTATTCAAGAGTAACACTATTAGACATATTGCTGGAAGTTTCAACATATTTATTAGATAGGTTACACAGATACCAACTTGTGAATTTTTCAAGGAATATAATCAGGGCTTCTTAAAAAACAAAACCAGAAAAGAAAGCCAGTTTTAAAGTCTACAGAATTACAGATAAGTTCTAAAGAGTGTTCACTATCCTTGCTTCCATGTCTCTTTATGGTTGCACATCTGTTACATATAATCAAAGTGGACACACTAACATTTTAAAGTCATTACTGGGGGGATACTTCATAAATCATGTAAATATCTAACCACTATGCTGTGCACCTAAAACTAATGTAAAATAATACTGGATGTCAACTATAATTTTAAAAAACAGTCACAAGAATATAAAGTACAGCATAGGAAATATAGTTAATATTGTAATAACTATGTACAGTGTCAGATGGGTAATAGACTTATTGGGTGATCACTTTGTGAGGTATATACATGTCTAATCATTATGTTTAGAACAGAATATAATATTGTATGTCAATAGTAATTTTAAAATAAATTTTTAAAAACTAAAAATAAATCATTACCATAATTTCAGTTCAAAGCTCCAAAAGTATATTCACACATGTATGTTGTTTTCCTAACAAATTATCTGGAAATAAAATATTTAAAATTGTCTTTGTTATTACAAACTCATATTTATATTGAAATTTCAGTGATGTTTTAAAAATTATCAGGGAAAGATTGCATCTTTTTCTTTTTTTTTTTCCAGCCCTATTTCTATATTGGATGATGGCCTTTATTACAAAAACCATAAAGTTGGTCAAGTACTGGCAGTCTGGTTGGGGAGTATCACACCTGCGTTTTTGCATCACAGGCATAATGGTCATCTTGAATGGACTCCTGATGGCCGTGGAGATCAATGTCATTCGGGTCAGAGTAGGTATCTGATGATTTTTGTGTAGTTACTAGAATTCAAGACCCCAATATTAAAGATGAAAGTCAGCTAGAAACAATGGTATTTAAGAGGATGAACAAATATATGTCATCTATGTGTATTACAATCAAGTTGAATTAATCGCTAAGTTTCAGATCATTAATGTCCCAGAAATCTCAATACAACCCTGGAATCTATTTATTCATTCACAAATATTGACAGTGCCTGTTATGTCCCAAACACGCTTAGTTCATATTGTAGATAAAATTGTTTTCATCAGGAATTTCCGTTATCCATGATTGAGCTAAAGCAAATTTTGGTTAATCAAACTAATGTATTCTCAGAAATTACCAACTGAAAAGAAGATCATTTAATCTAGGTTGCTCATTTCATTGATGAAAAAACTTCTGTAGAGTTAACTCTTGCTATATATCCAAAGTAACATGGTTAAGGCTCAGATCTGGTCTGTGATTACAAATCTATGGTACTTTCTACCACATAATGATGTCAGTTATATTGTGTGACATATTAGTGACTGATTTGTCAGTATTCATTTTCTATCAGAGCACTTTGAATTTGCTCTGAATGGCAAGATACATGCAGTAATAAATAATAAAGACCAGTCAGTTGATATCAATCAGACCACAAAGTAACAGTGACTCAACAGTGGTGTCGATAACATATTTTAAAAATCTAAATAATATAAAAATCTTCATTTAGTTTATTACAGGGTATCATGAAAAATTGATTTTTAGTAATAACTATCTTTTAAAGGGATAATCGATTTTTTAGAATTGGCCCCAAGTGGATTAAATGTAAAATTCTGGAATTCAACTAGTTAATCTACTCACAACAAAAGGGAAATATTTTAAAGAATATTCAAAAAGGGATGGAAAGAGGTATGAAAATATAATTTTTAGCTTCCTGAAATGAAAATGTTGAAAAAGTTAAAATTTTATTTGTAATATATGGAAAAATAATTGGGTTAATTATTATTTTGTGGAATATGTCTTGCTACAGAGATATGTATTCTTCATGAATCCTCAGAAAGTGAAGCCTCCTGAAGACCTCCAGGATCTGGGTGTGAGATTTCTTCAACCATTTGTGAATTTACTGTCAAAAGCAACCTACTGGTGGATGAACACACTTATCATATCTGCTCATAGAAAGCCTATTGATCTGAAGGCAATTGGAAAATTACCAATAGCAATGAGGGCAGTAACAAATTATGTTTGCCTGAAAGATGCATATGAAGAACAAAAGGTAATTTAGTATCTGTTTTTCATGTCAATAATTGTAGAGAATGGGCCTTATTAAACATAAAAGCACTAGGCTTAAATAATATCTATGGTTAAGGAAGAACAGATTTTCTCCATCTGTCTTTCCCAGTAGTTTTGAGTCATGTTAATTGGGCTGCTGAGAATAAACCAGAAATATTTTGTGTTAGTTGCCCAGATAATACATGAGGAGGGATAGAGAGAGCACTGTCTTTTCTCTGAGACCAAGTGGAAAATAAGAGTTAAGTTCAATGCTCATGTATGTCTAATCCTTGTTACTATATAATATTAATAATTCATGGAATTGTTGTTGTCTTTTTTCAAGTATCTTGTCATTAATTTTGTTATTTAAAGAGAAAGTAGATCATACCCATTTTTTAAGGAACTAAAATTCTAAAATGGATTATTAACTAAAATTTGGGCCCTAAGTTCCAAAGTGGGAAAAGTAAATTATATAAAGGGGCATCATCTGCCTAGTCCACGTATTGTCCTATATGTCTGCTAAAACTGGTTTCTCCTGGCCCTTTCTTTGAGTATTTATAATTGCTTTAAATTTTTGAAATATTAGTCTTTGGGTATTTTCAATTTGTCTTGTTTTCATTCTGTATGCTATTCACATAGATGTATTTTGCATTGCAATCATCTACAAATATTATTGTAATGAAAAATATGAGTATTCACAGCAACATTGGAACTGAGTAGGGTATGGTGAATCAGTTGTAGAGATTTTGGCTGTTCTAAGTTAAGATCAACAAAACATTTATGCTAAATGATGAAAATGACCCGTTTTGTGTAAAAAATGTGTATTATGAAATTAATATTGCAGGAAATGGTTACTACAAGTGAACCTGAGTCATGTCTCTGGTTTCACCTCTGGGAAAAGCATTGCCTAATATTTTTTAAAAACTTCTGTGCTAAATTAAAGGTTAACAATATAGTCTAAGCATAACTTAAGTTTTTCAAGTGCTCTTTATAACACAGATAAACTTGAACTTGGTGTGTTAATGTCTTTTATCAATAAACTTTAAAATATAATCAAATTATTCATCTAACAGAAAGTTGAATATTAAACACAATTGAACTCTATTGCATTGGGTTAGCTTCTTTGCCACAGTGAGAAAACTTTATTCACCTTCTCTCCAAGATGTAATTATGATGATTGTTCATACCTTAAAACCTTTTCAGCAAATGACTGCAAATGTGTGAAGCCATTAGTTGCCTTAAGCATATATGCTATTCTTCAGTTTGCATTTTGTAAGGAATAACTTGGAAACACAATTCTAACATAACCTTAAAATGTGTCTACCATTCACAGAGATAGAAAATATTTGGAGGAAAAACAGTCAGAAGTTGGAATGATGATCTGTTTTGTTTAGCTTGTGATAATTTGATAGGTGAATATCTTGTGATCTAGTAACTCCACAAATCTTGACTAGTCTGTCAGTAACCTTGATCTTTGTACTTTATTATCTTCATTTCCATACAATGTTATTTGGTATATTCATGACAGATTTACATTTTCCAAATCAAAGGGAATTAAAATTAATTTGGCCTTAAAAATTTTGGGTCACCCTTTGGCAACTATAAATAATACAAAGTCTTTGAAAAATTGTCCTGGTTATTCTTCATTCTATTTCATTAAAATGCATTCAGTGGTTACTGTTTGCGTAGAAGCAAGGATACAGCATCATACATACTATACTGAAAGGGACTCATGAAAACTTATTTATAAACTTTTAAAATACCATCAGAAATATCAGGAGGAGTTTCCATAGTGGCTAAGATTCATTGCTGCTCTAGTCATTTTATTTTGGTTCATCTGGTTTTTTCTTTCAGAAAAAAGCAGCAGATCATCCAAATCGGACTCCATCTATATGGCTAGCAATGTACAGAGCTTTTGGGCGACCAATTCTACTTAGTAGCACATTCCGTTATCTTGCCGACTTACTGGGTTTTGCTGGACCTCTCTGTATTTCTGGAATAGTTCAGCGTGTCAATGAAACCCAGAATGGGACAAATAACGCAAAAGGAGTAAGTTCGTGGTGCTTCTGAAATGAGACATATTACTGCCAGATTTCATTGTAATTGTTACTTTTATTAATGCAGTTTTATGAGCAGTTCAAACAGCCTTATTTGTAGATAATTGAATGCTTTGTAAAAAAAGAAAACAATAATTTTCCTTGTAGAGAAAATCATGTGTTTCTGTATTCGTTGAATGGATCTGGCCAACAAAATTCTTCCTCAGATGCAGAGCCTATAACAACTTAATAAGCATTTACAGTGTGCCAGAAACTATGCTCGGAAATTTCACATTGATTATTTTATTTGATCTTTATAGCAATCTTTAAAGAATTTTCACGCGAAGTACATGAGGGGTGGTGCCTGAGTCACTTTTTTAGAGGCCTAGAACCAATAACGTTAGTATTGTGATTTGTAATAGGTACATTTCCTTTTTGTTATGTAATAAAAGCCATCCTGATTTATAATGATAAGGGCAAGCCATATTATGTTTTTTTACTAGCTATTATGTTATTATTTGGGCAATATATATTTCCTGTTATAAATTTTTAATTTCCTATTTTTTCTTAAAATTGGCATCATGTACTTCCTTGTCTCTTTCTAAGATAGGAATTGATTTCCATAGTTTCACGGATACAAACTCTAGTCTAGATGCATCAGTTTTCCTTTTCTAGTCTCTCAATCTGACTTACTGTCATTTCTTTCTTCACCTATTAAAATTTTATGCATTTTCAAAGCCTGCACAATATGCTGCCTTCTCAGTGAAGCCTTTTCTGAATGTCCTGGTTGAAATTTGACTCTCCTTGGTACACCCCTAACACATTGTTTACCTAACGTTGGCACTTATTATAAACGCCTATCATTGGCACTTATTATAAACGCTATTTATAATGAAGCATATTATTTGTAGATGTGCTTACCTCTGTAGGTTGTAAGCTCTTTAAACAGAGTGACAGTGAATAGTTCACATGTGTCCCCACAATGCTTAGTCCAGTTCCTTGCATATATTAGTACTCAATTATTGAAGTAGAGCAGATATTTTCACCATTGAATATACACTTTTGAGATGTTTTGCCCCTAGTAGCCTAATTGCATGTAGATATCTGAATTACATGAATAATTCTTCTATCATCCCTCTCCCTTACACATATTAACCATGTGTTTTTTGAGGAGGAACAGAATTTACACATTTTTATGTATCTCCATGAAAGAGGAAGGGACCGGAAGTAGAATTTAATGAATCTAAACCATAAAAACTGAGTGCCAAATTGACATGATGTACTTATTCAAGTGTTACCTTTCCCTCACTTCTAACAAGCAAGTTACCATATGCTATTGTTACAAACAAAAAGCAATTACTTTTGTATATCCTTATGATGACTAAGTCATATTCCTACTAAAACAACTGTTTTCATAAGTTGTGTTTTGTCACTGGAAGTGTCACGTGGGTGAAATCAATAGCCAAGTTACATAGTTTATTTCATAAATATAAATTAAGATATATGAACATCAGAAAAAGTCAACTGTGTAGAATTATTTTAAATTAATAATGTTACAGAAATTGTATTATTGTCCCATTGGTCTTGCTGACCAACTATCAGTTTCTACTTCTAAATTACAGTCTAAATTAACTTCTGTCTTCATTTACTACTTTCCATTTAACTGAGGTAGACTATATCTTTGCAGAAAATGGAGTCAAGTTTTATTTTTAATTCAAATATACCTTTTTTTTTTCTACAATCGGGCATCTCCAGCTGTCTTGATTAATTTAGGATAGTATTCATTGAACTGATTTGTATTTGTTTTAGTGGACATTGTGAGGAAAAGCCAAAATTGCCTTTCTGTGGCTCATTCCACTGCTGTATTATAAAGATGTTGAATTTCTAGATTTAAAAATCATGTATCATTTAATAAATGCAAATTGTACAACAGGTAATTGAAAAGACTAGTTTTAATTTATTGCTTTCTTCTTTTGGGACAAGATTTCAGAAACCCTGTCATCAAAGGAATTTCTTGAAAATGTTTATGTTCTAGCAGTTCTTCTTTTCTTGGCCCTTATTCTGCAAAGGACATTTTTGCAGGCTTCCTACTATGTGACCATAGAGACTGGCATTAACCTCCGTGGAGCTCTGCTGGTACGTACGAGCTCTGAATGATCTTTGTTTCTTTAAAATGCCATATGCCATGCAGAGATAGGAAGGGTAGTGAATGGC